CCCCCTTTCAAAATCTATATACATTCTTCTTATACTCTTTTGCTTTTGGCCATTGGGATGTACCTGAAAATGCTGGCAATATCATAGCTATCTGATAGTTTGTAAAAGCGAAGAAACTGCTGTGTGATCTCTTTTGTTATATATAATAATTTTCCATATTGTGTTTGTGCTATACTATATGGAAATGTGGTCACACATTCAAACACACTTTCTGAATACTTGCTCACAGAAGAACACAAAAAATACACATATTTAGTTTTACAATCAAACCCCCTTTTTCATTTAGGACTCTTTTTCTCCTTCAATCAATGCTAACTCAATCATATATACAATGCTTAATCCAATCTATTCCACTTTTCAAGTTTCCTTTTTTTTGGACCATAAATCAAATACCCATTTATCACACTGGCATTTCCCATTATATGAGTTGCCTGATATAATTAAAATTCTTCTTTAAAAACTGAGGAATGGCACAAACTGAAGTTGGTTCAATGTCCAAAATTACATTGGAGACATGTTCTGAGAAAAACATGCAAACCAGGATAATGAAGTAGCATAGCCAGTTTCTTTCCACCCTGACTTTGACTCAGCAAGGTTGGCATGCCAATACTCAGAGCCGAGTCCATTGAAAGGGGCTGACTGGGCACAAATCGAAGATCTCGTGACTACAGTGCTCTACCACAGAGTAAACTGTATGAATAGGTAACGTCAAGTAGGCCTAGCAACACTTCTTGGAGACTAATGATTCTAGAGCCATCAATGTGCGGACAAAAGAGATAAAAACAAAATTGCAAAGGACAGTGCATATATACAAAATAAGCAAAAGGACAAATTAGTCTGGTAAGTACCTACCCAATAGTGCCAGGGAATATCAATGTCCGCTGTAGTTTTGTTCTGCGGATTTTGTTTATATGATTCAAAAGGGGTTTGTTACCGAGGAGCCAATTGTTTGGCATACCTGATATCCTCATTCCTTGAATTTTACTTTTTTTTTCTCTAATGCTCTTAATATCATTACTGTTACTGTTACAGACACTGAGATTATTATAATGTTATTAGAAATACTAACTGCAATAAAAAAAAAAGAAAAAAAAAGAAAAAAAAAAAAAAAAAAAAAAGAGGGGGAAAAAGGAAAAAGGAAAATGGTAAACAAGTAAGAGAGGGAGGACTAGCAAGCGAATCTTAGTGACTAAACTCTTGTTAAGTCATTGATGTGAAAGCAAAATTAGTGAAGTCACGGACATGGCAGGTATTTTTTTCCAACCCGACATCAGGAGGTTAAAGAATCTATGATATATATATATATATAACTGGGGTGACCCAACCAAATGGGGTTATAATGGGAGTATTGATATACTCCCATTATAACCCCATTTGATTGGGTCACCCCAGTTATATATATATATATATCATAGATTCTTTAACCTCCTGATGTCGGGTTGGAAAAAAATACCTGCCATGTCCGTGACTTCAGGTTTATCAGACAGACCTTCAATTTGCTCTTTAACCCCTTGGTGCCGGGTGACGCCGATTGGCGTGTAAACAAAGCGCTCGAAAGCTGGCGTGCAGCCAAACGAGCCGGCGGCGCGCCAAAGTGCGTCGAGCCAGTGATTCGGGCTGATGTCCCCTACTCACGCACTCAAAGTCGGCGCGCCGCCTTTGTTTGCTTAAGCGTAGAGTTTTTTTTTGTTTTGTACACCCGGCGCCATTGGGTTAAGAGTTTTTGTTCTCCATTTCTTGGTGTTCCAAAAAATTGGACTGATCCCATTTTTCTAGGCACTATTCAATGCTTGGGTATATAAGGGGAATATGAAAGGTATATATTGCACTTAGGGAGGCAAGATAAACTTTTTGCAAAGGATGCAGGCAGCAGACACCCTTCAATACATGTTACTGAGGAGATTAAGAACCAGTCTCGGTTGAATTACATATTCAGTTTACAGATATCCTTATCTGTAAACTGAATATGTAATTCAACCAGGTCTTGTAAATATATATGTGTGTGTGTGTGTGTGTGTGTGTGTGTGTGTGTGTGTGTGTGTGTGTGTGTGTGTGTGTGTGTGTGTGTGTGTGTGTGTGTGTGTGTCTGTGTGTGTAATTAACCTTGAAATCTACTATATATGGCACTTTAGATATAAAATCACTTCACCTATTCAAATTGGGAAAAATTTCTAAAAAGTTTAATAAGGACAGGTGCAATGACCAGGCTCATGAGGTGTCATCCCTGCCATAGGAACCTAGGAATATGACATGATTAGATATGACTTGATGTTAGTGAAACTTTTGCCATGACATACCAGGATATCATCTGGTAACAGTGGGTTAATTATTTTGTTCATATCTGGACACCATCAAATTGACCTCCCCAGCCAAGAAGCACTGGGTATCTATTTAAGAAATCTAGAGAAAATGATTTATAAATATCACAGCAAGTATGGTAGGCTTCATCTCTTTTTTATTTCAGGTCAGACCAGTTTATCTAGCAGAGAAGATTAATTGCCATGTGATCCCAAAATCCAGTACAATTCAAGGATAGTCTACCTAAAGTTTAATCACATGCCTTTTAAACAGTGTGTGATAAACCTTAAAAATATCGATCATATAACATTTTCACAAATAAACTTACCTTCATCTCCTTTCCCCATGCCGACGATAGCTATGTGGCTCGGAGACAGTTCCAAGATTTTTGTACTTTTTGATGGTATAACTGAAGTTTCTGTCGCATGTTTTTTCCCCGGCAGCTTCTCCAAGGAGTCATTCTGAAGGTCAAAGCTGTACATATCTCCATTGGACCCTGTTGGTGGAAGGAGCTCATGAAATATGGTTTATTATCAATGAAAACTTTAAAGTGCACTAAAAATAAATATTCACTCAGGAATGTAACCAAAAAAAAACACACTAAAAATAACATGCAACAAATCAACACAATAATGCAAGTGGCACTATAAAAGATAAAATCTGGGTGACATGGGTGTTTTGTCATGAAAAAAATCTGGTCAGGGGGTGTCATGAGTGTACACAGAACCTGAAGGGAGATTAACTCAAAGGAACTTCTTGGGGAGCTGATTTTGGCATAAAATAATGCACCATGTCAGTAATAAATCTAATAACCTGCCTTTTTTCAAAATGGTTAAGCAGAAGAAAAAGAATGGTACTTGACAAGAGTGAACTGGAAAAAGAAATCGAAAGTATTGAAATAAATCTCATTCAAGAACTACTAACATGGAATACATAACAAACTGATAATTGCTATGTAATGTTGCATGGTGTTCAAACGTACTTAATCCTTTCCAGACGGGGAAAATGAATAAAAAATGGGGGAAATTCTGTGCTCATTTTTTATATTTTTGTGAAATATCCCTGTCACTAGATGGCTCTGCTAGTGCTTAGGCATAAAGGATTTCACCTTTCCTTGAATTGGAGTGAAAAACATATTTTAACTAGTGCTATAAATATAGATGGTATCATTTTTATTATAAACATCCTAATTACTATAATATAAACATTTGTAACAGCAAAATAAGATAACGTTAAATATTTTCGTAAATCAATGAAAAGGGTGAAGGGGCGAGACAGGCGGTACTCATAACTGGCTCACAGGTGATTTAGTACAAGTGTAACCATCTATGTGTAAAAACACTTAAACAAGTAAACTCACAATGGGCATGGCATGTACGTACATGCCATACCCACCGGCAAAGGGTTAAAGAGACTATGCTAAGATAAATACTGCATCATATAGAACCATCTCCATTTCACATCCTATCTAACCAAAAACAAATCCTTACTGTTTCGGCCTTTATACCTTATCCTTTATTTAACAACAACTAGTAATAACATCAACAACTAATAAATTATAACAGCTAATAATAATCAAAAAGCAAAAACAGGAAAACCTCCAGCCATACATAATGTGATTAGCGTCGATGAGGAGAGGGCACACAGGCCGGTGAGTGTGCAATCTGCAACAGCCAAGTCATATCCTTTGGGTGACCTTCCTCCACTCTGGTTCAGCTGCAGCTCGTACAGTTTTGTACAAGATGCCTGCAGTTTGAGGAAGAAGACACAGGTATTCAATTTTTACAAGCAAGGAGAGTCACACGGTCTCACAGATATATGTTAATATATTTTTTAAGTATATCCTTCTTTCTTTACTTGGAAAGGCTGTCTAATCATTTGTCATCTGGCCAACTGAAGATAATAACAAAAGAAAAAATACAAATGATAAAAACAGATATTGAAAATATCAATAACAATAAAAATATTAATAATGACAATAATATTTTTGGAAATCAAGAAAAAGGGTAAACAGACAAGACAAACAGTACTCATAATTGGCTCATTGGTGACTTAATATAAATGTAGCCATCTATGTATAAAAACAATAAATAAAGTAAACTCACAGTTGGCATGGCACGTATGTACATGACATGCCCGTTGGCTTTGGGTTAATAACAATAATATTAACATCATTATCAGTAATAATAATTACCATAATAATAATACCACCTTCAAACTCCCACTTCCACTGACCTCTTTCCTTTTGGCGGCAACTATGGCTGTGCTGGTGCTCTCAATGATCTGCACATAGGTGATAGTCTCATCCTCCTGCAAGAACCCTGGCTTGCTCTCGCGTCTCGTGCTGAGAGCCGACTGGAGCTCTTCAATTTCGCCATTGGTGAAGACAGCGTATACCTTATCTCCACTTACGAGGAGTTGGTGGATTGGGGATTCAAACTGGAGTGGAGAGTTTGATTGGTGCTCGTATCAGATTTTTAAAAAATAGAATCATAATATATTGATTATGTGGAAGGAAACATGAACCATCCAACCATGTCCTTCCCCATAGCAGCCTCCTACTATCCTCAAATAAATATATTTTCTCAGAACAAATTCCTTCTTCCCTGCAAACAACTGTTCATGACTTAATCCCATTACATATCTGATAACAGCAAACATGAACACTTTAAAAAACATTTCCCAACCCACATAACAAGGTAACAAAAATTTTACTTACATTATAACGCTTGACATTATCAATGTCATCCTCTTCACGACTCCACTGGGAAATGGAATTTCCATTGATAACTACTGCAAGGTTGTTTGTTTCAGGAACAGTAACAGCAGCAGATGTGAAAGGATGCCAGCTCTTTGTGGACCAGCTCCTCACCTGTCTGCGGTCCAGAACCTGAAATAGTTTAGGTCTAGTGTTAGAAATGTTCACGGTCATTATCAGAGATAATTACAAAAAAATACCAATACATGAACTATTTGATGCTGTCAGTGTAGTACATATCCGTGCAATGTAAACAACAAGAGTGAATTAGAAAAAAAATGGTCTCTCTTTAATGCCTTCTTAAATATAACATCTTTTGGAAGCATTTGCATAAATATTGCCATAGAAGAACTAAGTCTTGGTTTGGGCACATATTCAAAATCTTGTATGACCGATCGCAACAATAATGGTATCAATAGAGTACTCTCACTCTCTACTGCCTAAATGTATAGTAATTATGTGTGCAAAGTCACACAATTTTGGCTCAATAGCAGGGTGTATGAATGGTACCAGGGAAATATGAATAATATACAGAGAATTTGTTGATATACAGACAAATGCAGGAAGCTATACCCCTTGCAACACCCCCATGGGAGACTTCTGAGCCCCAACCCCTGCCGTAATCAACAAAAAATACACCACATACATACAGCAGGAAAGAGTGACAGACAAAATCGGCATCTAGTGCTCACGCATGTAGGTCATACGCCCTCTTGCCATGAATACATGGTAGATTCTTTGTCTTCCTTTGTGGGGGTCATGCCGTGAGGTGTCAAAACAAACTGCTTGATCTGTGGTGTATGGCTGTACACTGCAGCGGTGCACCAAAGTGCTACAAGCCAGTGATTCTGCTTGATGTACCAAGCTCCCGCGATCAAAGTCAGCGCATTGCCATTGATCTCCAGGGCGTAGAGTTTTTAAAAAAATTTCTTCACCCGTCAACAAGGGGTTAAAGGGTGTAAAGCCACCTAATAAGAAAAATGGTAAATGTTACCAAGAGAGATGCACAATGGCCTCATACTTACTAAGAAATGACGAAAACATCCAATGCATATCACAAAATCACCCTAGCCCCCGGCCTAGTACAGTGGTACCGTGTCGCTCATCTGTGGGGTTGGCAGTTCGCACCCCTCCCAGACACGAAAAGTTGCAATTGTCGCCTGGAGGTCACTGCTGTGGCTGGGCACGACTGCAGGTAAGGACTAAGCTCACCTGATTCAGCCCCAGCTGACACACGTTAGCGAGTTGGTATTAGTTGACACAAGCTGGGATCCCTTGATGGGCATAGCCTGGGCAAGGCTCAGCTTCACATATCGGACTTATCCTTACTCAGTTCTTAACCCAATGGTGACAGGTGAAAAAAAAAAAAAAAAAAAAAAAAACTCTATGCTCTGGCAATCAAGGCGGCGTGCCGACTTTGACCGCGTGAGTTTGGTACATCAGCCCGAATCACTGGCTTGCCGCACTTTGGTGTGCCGCCGTGGCATACAGCTGCACGCCAGCTTTCGAGTGGTTTGTTTTCACGCCTCTCGGCGTCACCCGTCGGGAAGGGGTTAATGTCGTGTTTTTTCTAATTTGTTAGAGAGTATAGGGGGGCTTGCCCCCACCGTCTAGGGAATGATAGAAGGTAGGAAAGGTTAGGTTTAGTTTTTGAGTTCTCATGGTATCCCAGCTTTGGGTGTGTTGCTCTCATTAACAAATACCAGAGATATGAATGAGGAATATTATGATTTGAAATGTGCGTGTAACAACTGTGATCGCAACAGTTGGTTCCCAAAACTCATAGAAATGATGGTTTGCGGTTGAAAACATGTGAAACACAACGAAATCAATTAGAAAATTGTATGTTTCATACGAAATAACCACAATTTCCTTTCCCGAAAACATAAGCAGAAATTACCTTCAATTTCAACATATGCAGGGAATGTTATAGACGATAAGCATATAATTTCAATTTGCTTCATTTCTCTCATAACCTCAGATACTACCAATCAGACTGTCATCCACTAAAACTGAACTCACCAACAATTACACCCAATAATCAACCGTAAACAGAATAAAATAGCACATAATAAAATAAATAACCACACACCAACTCCCGCAACAAAAACCACCAAATCCCACAACCCCATCACCTATATTCTTTCACTTTCACGCTTCCACTTACATTATAGAGCTTGACCACGCCTTTACACGTAATCAATATGTGTTCATCCCCCTCAACAGACACCCCGAGGAGATTTCTGACATGAAAATCGCTACAAAGGAAGCCAGCGTTGTGCAGAGACGAGGCCATCGCGACAAAACGTGCGAAGGGGTTTGTTTACATTTTGTGAGGAGATAAATCTGGGTCAGGTTGTGTCGTTTTACAGGTCGTGTAGAGGAGAAAAAAGAAGATGATTTCTTGATTCGCTTGCTTTTTATTGGTGTGGTTGTGATGTTAG